CCCTACCGAGAAGCCTCCCGTTGCAGAAGACGACTAATATTAACGAATAGCGAATCACCGCACTCCCCCGAGTTATTCTCCCTTTCTCGATTCCTTAGCTCCCCGATCCTTGTCTGGTAACGAAACGACTGTCATCGTCACTTCTAGACTTGTCTTTCTTTCTATGCCTCCTACTTTTTATACGACTGCTACTTCTGCGGATTCAGACCAGAGCTGAACTCTGCTCTACACCAAGGGTCCCGTATTCAATTCTTGGCCTAAATCCATTAGTTCAACTTTTCTCTGGCTCCTCTTTACCAAGTCCACTCTTGTCCCAACTTACACAACTTGTTGAAAACACTGGCTTTGACTTAACTAGTCATCACTTCGACGATAACGATCTTGACATGGACCCAACAGCCCGGAACGAGCAGCTGCTTGACAGGCGATCACAGCTCACAGAGGGACTTTCTAGCCTACCCTATGACTTGATACTCTACCTCAACCGTGCCGCTATCCACTCGGATCTAGGATACCCGGACCTTGCAGCCGGTGATGCATACCGTGCACTCTTGCTAGCAGATGAGGTTCTCAATGAGGGCTTCGAATATCATGAGCAGGCCCTCGAGTCTTTGCAGATGCACACAGCAGTTCCCTTACCCGATGTTCTAGCACATGGAAACCTTCCTCAAGATGAGCTACAGAGCCCCGAGACTGACCTGGAAGTCGAAGACGAGGCAGTTAAACGATTGGCCATATTGGCGCAAGTTCGTGCATATCAGATCCTTTCTCTAGGTCTGTTACTCTGTGGATCACTACAGAGTGCTGCCAGCTTCTGTCAGCGCGGTCTCCAGCTCTCACCATCGAATCAAGAACTACTCGACACCAAGAACAACATAGTTACTGTCGCCCGCAGAAGGCTTCGTCGTGATGATATCGACATTGATTACCCCAATCTCCCCGATCAAGGTCTCGTTCGTCGCGAGGTCTACCCCTGGAACGACCATGAACCTGATCGTTTCGCCCCGGAATCACTGGCTGAACTCAACGAGCATTTGAGTGTCATGGCACCAAAGTGTGTCGTCGAAGTTGCGACCTTACCTGTCCTTTTAGAAGGAGCGAGCAGCACCGATGACTATGAAATCATTCCAACATGCAAGCAACTTGGAGTCTTTGCCAAGGAGGATATCGCCCCTGGTGAGGTTGTGCTGAAGGAATACTCACTTCTGACTGCCAATAATCGCCTGAAAGACTCGATCTGTGACGCATGCAGTTCTGATCTGCCACCACTAGGCAGCGAGAACGAACCCGTCAGTTGCCCTCAATGTTACGATACGGTATTCTGTACCCAGTATTGCTTCGATCAAGCCATGGAGCGATATCATCCAGCAGTTTGCGAGAAGGATGTTGATGCAATCGCTAAGGACCCTGATGCATTTGAAGCGGACCAAACCCTTTACCTTCTGCTGCTCTCTCGTGTCTTGGCTATTGCTGCTCATGAGGAGGTTAATCCCCTTGATGTTCGAGAGGTCAAGTATATATGGGGTGATTTTGTTCCGACTCGGACCAACGACATCAACGTCTCACCAAACGCCGGCCCGCCTCCTGAGTGGACACTGCCATTTTCTTTCAAATACAATATCGAAACCCCTCTCCACGTTTTGGAAAAGATGGATATCGATATATACTCCTCGCTCGCCGAGAACGATCTATGGGTTCTCAACACACTATACGCCAAGTTCAGGGGCACTGCTTCGGCCCGTAAAAATCCTCGGGATGGTCGCCCTGATGTCGCCGCAGTGCACCCGTATTGGTGTCTTGCGAACCATGATTGCGATCCCAACGTCACATGGGAATGGGGTGGCCGCATGGTCCTCGAAGCCAGAAAGGAGCGTGTTGTGGGTTGTCGTCCAGGAGGTATCAAGAAGGGTGAGGAGATTCTCAACCACTATTGCGACGTCAATTTACCTGTGCAACAACGACGGGAATGGGCCAGGGGTAGTTTGGGCGGCTGGTGTATGTGCAAACGGTGCCGCGATGAGGCTGCCATGGGAGAAGTAAATCATGTTTGAGAATTTCATGTTGTGAATTGGGATATTGTGAAGTACGGAGTGGGTTTTTGTACCTTTCAGGGATAGGCCTAGATAAAATGGGTGGATCGATCATAGCAAGTTTGTGCTTTGGCATGTTGGTGTTGAAGCCTGGATAGGCAGGTGAAGGATATCATTTGAAAGCCTCGAGATACCACAATACACGAAAGGTTCTTATCATACGAAGTGTCCAGCAACTTAACACTAACAGCTCTTTCTCCTTTCTACCAATACGCCGACGATACTGACTAAATGGTCAAGGATATGTATGAACCAGGTATATGATTAATGAAAAGGTCAGCATCGAACATGAACAAATGTTGAAATAGTTTGAGTTCTATCGAGGCTATCACAATCGATCAAAATTTGAAAGACCCCTCAATCAGCCCAGTACTTCGTTGCTTGAGTCGCAAAACACTCGCTTCTATTTCTAGGCCAGCACTTTACCTTGGTTGCTCAGGAAGTGGCCGAGGTCCTACGATCTGTCTTCGACCAGCTCCAATACCCACTGACCCCTTATTCTGGCTATCACCACCTGTATAGCCAGCCCATTGACCAACGTCCCATCGACCACCAATGCCACCGCCGATTCCGTCTACACCCTCATTAGAGCGCACCGCCGCAGCAGTCTCTTTCTGTGCCTCTTCCCACTCGCGCTGCCGTTGCCGTTCCATCTCCATCTCTCGTTCCAGAAGTGATTTGGAGGCCCATCCACCAGCCTTAGTCTTATTCTGGCTTTGTGCACGACGCTGGTCTTCGGCATCGCGCTCAGCTGTGGCGCCTAGTTCGCGCGAGTAAGTTGCCTGGGCTGCAGGTGGTGAAGGAGCTGGGTTCCTTGATAGAAAGCGGTCGGTACGACTGGGGGCGGCGGGTGTAGGCTTCGGGGAGTATGTGGCGGGATCTGGGAGGGGCCGGCTGCTCGTGTTCGGTGACTTGGCCTGGGGAAGGGCAGTCGGGTCAGGTAAGGGGCGAGGTGACCTCGAGGGTAAGACAGGGGCATTATTAGTTTGAAGGGGTTCTCTGTTGAAAGGAGACCGAGTCCTCAGAACTTCTCGTTCGTCTTTAGACCACGAGTCAGAACGTGTTGGAGGACTGGACACCAGCTTGGGCTTTGGTTTAGGGGTTGGCTTTGTCTCGATGCCTCCAGGACGTTGAGCTCTCTCTTGACGCTCTCGCTCATACTCGGCTTCTCGTTGTCGAGCGAGCTCTAACTCTTGCTCCAACTGCTTCACACGGTTCTTGTAGTCATCCTCCGAAGCGCCGTCTTGTTGTGATGCTCCCTGGTCGGCTCGATACTGACTCAGAAATTGCCCTGTCAGCTTGGAATCACTACGACTCTTCACGCTTTTTCGTTCTGCGGCAAGTCGGGCTTCGGCTTCTTCCTCCTCCTTACGCCGCTTCTCCTCTGTCAGTTTCCATTCTCGTTCCTCCTCCTCCCATCTTCGCTTCTCCTCCTCAGCAGCCTGCCGCTCCTTTTCTCGGAGTTGTTCGGTCTCCTGCTCCCATCTAAGCTCCTCCTCAACCCGGGCGCGATCCTCCTCTTCTTCCGCTTCACGGCGAGCGCGCTCTTCCTCCTCCTTTCGACGGCGCTCTTTCTCGGCGAGAGTTGGCACGCGGGGACCAGCATTGGTGATCTGTCGCCTTCCACCAAACGATATACCGAGGTTGCCTTGGCTGGCGCCCCCTAAGTAACCATACTGTGCAATATTCCAAGCCGGTGCAGTAGTACCTTCGTGCTCCTTTTTGCTCCAGCTGCTAACGGCGCCAGGAGATTCGGGCCCATTCTTCGGGGTAGGACTCTTGGTAGGACTCCACCGCCCAGAGCCAGAATCACCCGTTCGATGTGGTAGAGCAGCAGAGCGTCCGAAAGCGGGCGACTTGTTACTCGTAATGGATGCGCCCCTGTCGCGTGTCCCAGTAGGCGTCCATGAACCTGTTCCTTGTGGAGTAACCGTTTCAGGTCGGTTTTTGGGTCCAATCGATGTGGGAAAGTTATGAGGATTAGCAGCATGGGCCGCTCTACTGAATGCGCCGATACACTGCAGAACTTGCGCTGGGTCCTTCTGCTCAAAAAGATCGACAGTAAGGAATGTATCGTGTTGGTGGAGGTTCAATGGTGGAGATTGGCAGGCACGGAGAAAGAGCGAGATGTTTTCCATCTGTACGAAAGGCATGGCTGATTGCTTGAACCGAACTCCAGGAGGTGGTAGGGCGAGGTTGGCGAGTCTGGGTTGTGTAAGTCCCGCATTCATGATCGCTAAGCTTAGAGGTGACTTACTTGCATAGAGCAACTCCATCTTTGAGTCCTTCGAGGAGATCGGACGAAGGAAGACTCTCTCCTAGAATAACTTCGATCCATGAGCGAGCTTCGTTCGCAGCGGCTGGGGTATATTTCTCAAGGCGCATCTTGCGCAAGTCTTTATCCAGCGACGACACGGACGCCATGATGACGGTTCGCCGTTAGGTTCTCGAAATAGCAATTGAATCACTCTGAGGAACAAGGAATTGGATTTATATCTCGACTGGTACGAGTTGAGGTTCAAGGGTCTGCACTGGTAAGCGACGTGGAGAGTAAGGTCCTGTCGCAAAAGTCGCACTTCTTACACGGAGGGAGGGAGGGAGGGGAAAGGGTATCGATTCGCAATATAAAAAAAATGAAGCTGTCTCCAAGTGATTGTCTCGAAGATCAACTTTCAGGGTAGAAATCAAGTGTTGATTGAGAAGAATAGGAAGAAAGAATAAGATGGTCCCGGGTATCCGAGGTAGGTAGAGGTAGGCAGGTATCCAAGGAATTAGTAGCTTGAATTCAAGCAGGCAAGATTGGGCGGCATGCACCCAACACCAACATTCAGCCCACCATGAAATGACGTGGACTGGGAGTTATGAGGTGGCTGGGGTGCGGTGGCTGGTGCATCATGAAAGTGGCTGTGTATGTGTCATGGATTCAAGACTTCACCAGAACATTTGCGCCTCCCCATATTCTTTGGTGACATTCAAAGTCACAAATTGAAACAAAAGAAGCCCATGGCCACAAATCAGATTGGGCCTGTTGCGCGGGCCTGGTACAAGTGGAAAGCTCTCCGCTTGCCGTGGCGCAAGCGCTTCCTCATGGGTTTGTTCTTAATCTTCCCTCTACCACTCTCCTCCCACTTACATACCGCCAGGTTACGACCTTCAGGGTAATACATACTGGGAATTTCGACTCACGAGAGGCGCTGAGAGTAACGAGCGCTGGCGAAGAATTGTTAAGTACTCGCGATCAACACACTACTCCTCCGTAAAGGTCAGCCCGCAATGGCACCAATGGCTACGCCATACGCGAGAGGAACCTCCAAGTATCGAGGAACAACACAGCGATGTCCTACGTCGGTTGAGGATGCAGAAACTTGCTGCTGAGGCGGATGCTCGTTGGGAGGCCAAACCGCGAGTTATGGAGGCACCACGGGCTGCGCCGGCACCGTTGCTTTCACCGGCGAAGGCTAGTCCTTTACAACAAGACGCCATGAGTGGTGAGCAGACTGATACGGGCGCAAAGGAGACCAAAGAAGAGACTGAAAAGAACGATGACCCATGGGCCAGGGCCAAGGCTAGAGCACCAGGCGAGACATGGCAACCAACTTCTTGGAGTCCAACAGCAGCCAAGAAACGTTGAGTAACAGAGCTTCAGTTAAGCACTGACTCAACTGGCCCAGCAAGCCATAATTGCCATACCAAATGTAGCAACAATGTACAAGAGCCACGGAAAGAGACGAAACAGATTCAACGGCAAAATATTGGGGTATCATCATTCATTACGGCATTATGTCCATGCACTGGGTAGTCTATAATGTGTACATTCCCACCAGAAAACCAATAAGAATTATCATCCCATTAACCGCCTCATGACTCCGCTTCATGAGAAGCTTTTAGAACTTCCAATAACATCCGAATTCTTTCACCTGAATTAGTCAGGATCTCTTGCGCAAGAGCATCGGTTTCATCACCCTTAGCCTTCCCAGTACGCCGCTTCTTTGCTTTTGCTTCTCGGGCTTGGATGCCCTTCTCAACAGCCTCTTCAAACTCTTCAGAATAAATCATTAGATCGCATGCCCAAAGAAGTTGTATAGCATCTTCAACGACTAGGGATAATTTCGCGTTGTCTTCCAGAGCCACGGTATTCGCCGGATGAGGGACAAAACACTGTTCTAACATTGGCAAGGTCAAACTTCCCTCTGCGTCACCTTCTGGGTCAACCTTTGAAGGATCTTTGTACGATGATGGTAGTAGCAAATCGAATAATTCCTTGGTGATGGTAATATGTGCTTCAGACAGAAGGGGATTTGGTCTTTGGCACGCAAAAAGAGTAAACATAGAAAGTGGGAGAAGTTTGAGGGAGGCGGTATACTCCTCATATAAACGATGGAGCTCGGAAGGTTTTCGAAGTGACCATGTCACCGCAGAAAGTAACCTGAACAGACGAAGGCGTATGTCAACAGACTCGACCAACCCTTGCGAGTGCACACCTGCTGTTCCGAGTTTTCGCATGTCCTTGGGCTTTTGAGGTGTGGGTGGTTCAGAAACTCCCGAAGAGATTGATTCATCATCAAAGTAGTCACCAAATTTGTCGTTTTCCAGGTCCAGCACTTGCTCCCGCTTTCGTTTCTTAGACGCCTTGCTCGGGCCTCTGGGCTCCTTATCAAAAACCTCACGGAAGGCAGACGACGATATCTCGCCTCCGTCGGCAAATATAGCCTTGACAAATCCTTTAGCTCCGGTTTGTCGCCCGGTTTGTTGCTCCATATACATGACAATGATAGATTCATTGCGCGCTGTTCGGGGTAGTTCGCTCTCTGGCCCATTGGCTGATTGCGCCTCCTTGTCGCATCGCTCGCGCTCGTTCCAGTCGGCCTCCAAGACATCCAACATTAACTCTAGCCAGGCTTTCCAGTATTGCCATCGCTTCGGATATAACGTGCTGCAGTTGAAAGCCCAACCAATGGTCGACCAAAAGTCTTGTCCACGGTTCCATATGCTACTGTCGTTGGCAAGTTTGCCTCGAAGCCGTTCGTCGTCACCATTTGATTCCGTATCTGATATGTCACTATCATTTCCCTGTCCATATTGATCCCAGCGGCGACCTGAGCGTGGTGTAGAGCTGAATTGGAAGGCTGTTCTGAAATCGGCATTGATGGGACCGGCAACTAGAAGAATACTGCGCAAATAGTCGAGAGCCTGCGAGGCAACATCAAGCTGGTCTTTCTTCTCCGCACGAGTAGTGTGGAGAGGATGAATAACAAGAGTATTCAATAGAGCGAGATGACTTGGAGGAGGGACAAGGACGTGCTTCTTCGAAGGGGTGTGCTTGGATATACCAGAGCCGGCAATGCTGTTGAGGAGATTGATCGCGGAGCCATCTATTGAGATGTGAGTATAAGTTACCATTAGGAGGAGTGAGCGCCAGCATACACAGTTGTTCTTCGAGTAAAATCTGGCAATGCGCCTTCAAGTCGCGGGGCAGTTGTCGCGCATCACGATAGGGACATGGGTTCTCATGAACGGGGCTACTGGCAGCAGTGGATTTATCAAGCGTAGCATCATGCGCCGTCACAAAAGATGACGGCGACGACAGACTGGAAGAAGACGAGGCTGTTGCCATTTCGTGTTTCGAGTACAAGACATTCGTGAGTTTATAAGTAATGATTAGTGAGGCATGGGGAAGGGAACGAGATGAGACGGTTGAGAAGGAAGCAATAATCAATTTACACGGGTTCCATTGAGATCGCGAAGCGCGACAAGCGCGTGTGCTATCAGAGGAACCTGCCGATTTGGAGGGGCGGTATCTGAACTCAAAAGGTAGTGGAGAATTCGCACTGGGTTGGCCAGTGACGCCATTGTCTGGGACGAAGAACCATTACTTATAATTCATAACCACCCATCTTTGTCTGCGTGCTCTATCTAATAAGGCATGATGAATATGACGCGACCAAAAATCAAACCTCTTGTTATTCAAGTTGAGATTGAGAAAAAGAAAGCTGACAAGACTGGGATTCGAACCCAGGCCCCTTTCGAGACTGCGAATCGTTACTAGTTCGAATAGAACCTGAACACAGCGCCTTAGACCGCTCGGCCATCTTGCCTCAATGCGCTATTATTCAAGCAACTGTCAATTACCACCTTGAGCTACGCCTGAGATGAGCCTGGTAGAATCACCAAGATTTATTGAATATTCCGATATCACCGCAAACTTATTAAAGGTCGCAAAAGCACTAGAGAAAAAGAAAACGCTTTTCTCGTATACAGTTTAGGCATTATCTGGAGATACGAAACTCTAAAAGGTTATCAGAATAATAAACGCCTGTTGAAGGTTTTGCGTAGTAGGTCATGCCTAGTAGTTCTTCGAGTGTCAATACGCCTTTGCTCAACGCACGAGATAGCGTCGTGCAATTAGAGAAGTGACATCAACCTGGATATCCGGTCTATGGAACACCAGATATTTATATATGCTTTAATACATGCCCCTTTTGCTGGTACTACTCTACGTGTCTCAAAATGTTCTTAACTGTAATTGCTCTCAGGAATAGAATCCGAAACCTCATGATGAATGAGGCTGCCATAAGAGTACAAATAATAATACCCTCAAACGGAGAAGAACAGGGTTTTCTCATTAAACCCTCGTGCTTAAGCTCTATTGTGTATAAATGCACGGAAAGAAGAGTTTGCTGTTTAAACATAAAGTACTCATGATTAACCTTCTCATGTGCATTGGCAACATACAACAAATAGAGTATACTCCCAAAAACTTTAATCTACATCTTTATTCATATAAATTAGACGTGTAAGCTTCTAATTAATCTTTTTCTTATACTGAGCTCTTGTAAGGACGCACCATATCGCAATACCCTTGCAGTTATACAGCTGTGCTCCAAACAACACGATGGGTTATCTTCATGGCCGAGTTGGCCTGTCAAGCGCGCCAACGCCCATATCAGATCCAATACTTCTCTTCTCATGCTTGCTGTTGTTTTCAGTAGGGTATACAAAGTGGCTAGCCACCCGGGCATCCCTCCCAAACCCTTTACTTACCGCCACGATGCCTGAGCTGCAAGAAGACAAGGACATGCTTGAGGAACTAGAAGACGATGCACTGTCTCCCTTTCAATTTACGGATGACTATTTCTCGGACAACATAGCAGATGAAGATGGTTCGGCCCGCGAGCCAGCAAGAACCGGTAAAAGACTACAGAATAAAAGGTCTGCTGCGAAGAAGGCAGCTCGAAAAGAGAAAATGGAAGCCATAGAGGAGGAACGACGAATCCTAGGACCCCTGCACAAGTCTTTGAAAAAGGCCTGCAAACAATATGACAAGAAAGAGAGGCAGATTCGACTAGGAGCCAAGGTAACCCTTGCAGATATCGACATGGAAACATTCGCAGGTGCAGTTGTGTCACTTAAGGGAAAATGCCAAGCCAACTGTCTAGCTGCTACCTCGTGTCGAGACGAGGGCCTTAATGTTTTGGCCCTGTGGGCCGATGGGTCAATTACAAATATTGCCAACGGCGGCGCTGCAGTTGTTTTCATGGACAAGTCTTTGGGAAGGGAAGAAACTATCTGGAAAGAAATAGGCTGGCAAGTGAAAGGACACAACGCTCATATCGGAGATGTCGAAGCCATGGCCATCGCCGGGGCCCTTGAAACAGCTATATTCATTGTTTCGCAACAATCGACTTCTAGGATACGCAAAGTTGCCATATTCTCTGACTCGACAGAGGCTATTTCGCGGTGTTCCGAGATTTGGTACTTCCCAATACCACCTCTCGACTCGTTAGTTCGACGACGATCACATGAATTGGCGCGATTGGGAGTGGCTTTGTCTCTCATTTGGGTTCCAGCTCATAGTGGTGTCGAGGGAAACTACCGAGCCCATGCTATCGCAAAGAGTATGGGGAAGCTCGATTGTCCGGACTTGTGCCAAAGCACCGTGTCTATACCTCGATCTATGGATGATGTTGTGGACTTTGGCTTTCACCGTGAGTAATCTATCCCTCCAAAGGATACTCTGCCCGAAGAGGGTTTTCATCAGGACTTTTGCCAGGGCTTCCGGTGCTTTGGGAAATGGCTAGGTGGGAAAGGGATAAATTGGGCTATGCACATGGCTATGTTTCCTCAGCCGAGTTATCAGTGTATCACCTCAGGAACTTCGATATTTCTTACATGTGCCGATTTATATTGCGGTAAGAGAACCGGGGAAGTCATTAATAATTCAGCACCATTCGAAGAGTAAGATTCAAACACTGCAGGAAATGAATAGTGAAACAATCCCCTATCTTATCAAACATCAACTTCCGGAACTCTTTGGTCTTTCTTCTCCATAGACCTGCTTGGCCGAGAGCATGCTCAGTCTCAAATTCTGGGTCGAGGCTCTTTGCCTTAACACAGACGAGTGACACGAAGAGAGCAATGCATGCGAGTAAAGTCAGTACCAGTCAAACGGTTCGAAGGCCCTTGATGTATCCATCGATGGCAGTGTACTTCATGAGCTGCATGCTAGAGGGAGACACCTTGAGGATCTGAACTAACGCTGACGCATCTTTAGCCCATTCATTAGCTTTGGAAGCAAACTCTGTGCTCTTCTCAAGCTGCTTACGAAACTCGTTCTGAAAGGTGACGCCGCCGACAGCAACACCGATACCTTGACCTAAAGATCGACAGAAAGCATAAAAGCTGGCGGCGAATGGTAAATCGGAATTGGAAGCTGAAGCTTGAGAAGCAAATGCTTGAGCTGAATAGAGGATACCGAGACCAAGACCCCCAGTAAAGTAGATGAGTACCCATCTGAATTTTTCAGTACCCTTCTCAAGCAACATCATCAGGCCCATAACAACAGGTACAAGAACCCATCCGGCCCATATGAAGGGCCTGTATGTCCCCGTCTTGGCAATCAAGAGTCCAACCACGACAGCAGCGGGCGCCACTGTCCCAGTAAACGGCATGACAGCAACACCCGCAGTGATAGGTGATGATCCCCTGACCTCGTGGTATAATGGAACATAGCAAAGAATACACCATACCGTTATGCCGTGGATGACCGTAGCAAAGTATGCAGAGAGAGTCGCAAGGGAGGTAAACAGACTAGGTCGTAGGAGAGGGTCACATGTGGAGTATTTTCTGCAGAATTTGATGTGAAAACCAAACGCAACGAGTCCGAGAATACCGAATATAAGAGGGATAACAGCCCTAGGGCTGCTCCAATCATGCATGATGCTACCTGTAAATGCTGATCAGCAAATAGTCACATAGTTGACTGTGTCAGTACGGGCAACTTACCCCAGTTCAAAGGGATCAAAAAACTTGCCAAAGAGCCAACAAAGATGATGGTTCCGATCCAATCGAATTCTTTGATCTTGGTGTTGACTGACGCAACCCCCTTTCGCTTAATGCGAATTGTGACAGGAATAGCAATGTAGGCAACACCACAGAATGGTAAATTGATCCAGAACAGCCAGGGCCAAGAAACTTCTACGAGAGCACCACCGATCAAGGTACCAAGAATGCTTCCAATAGCCCAGTTGAGGGAGATAAGGCCGAACCATTTACCTCTCTCCCTAAGGCTCACAAGGTCTGTAGCGATAACGTATGTCAAAGCAAGGATGCCACCAGAGCCAAGGCCCTGAAGTGTTCGACCACCAAGTAGCACGGCAATGTCTTTTGCCAGAGCAGCCATGATGCTGCCACCCGCAAAGGCAGTGAGAGAAGCGAGCAGTGCAGGCCGACGGCCAAATATATGAGATAGGGAGGCAACAGGGGGTTGAACGACGGTCGAAGCGAGGAGGAAACTGGTGCCGCACCAAAAGGCTTCGGTAGCCGCAACACCAATATCTTCTGCAACTGTCTTTGAACGTTTGATGTTAGCAAGGACCCATGTTAGTGCTGCATATCATGAACTCACAGGTAACGCAACGCAAATAATGGTCGAGTCAAGAGCGATGATAAATGTGACAAGACACAATGTACCGAAAGCGCCTTAGAAGCGCCATCCCCGACTTGAACTTGCAGCTAATTCCTCCAGTTCCTTGTGTCGAAGCGACGAGGGGCCTGAAGAAGAAGAAGAAGGATTGCAGATCGTATTCGCTCTTTCATTCTGTGTACAAGATCCTGATTCTGCCTCAATTACGTTCATAGCACAGACAGCTGGTATGAGGTCGGCAGGGAGAAACTCGTCTTGTTGGCGTGAAGAATCTGCTGTCCTGTTATCGAGTTTTAGATGACCCGGAGGGCCATTATCATCTCCATTATCAGCCATTTTACGGAACCAAAGAAACGTGGTCACGATTCGTAGACTTTGTTCAGGGGTGGACAAGAAACAAAGACTAATTGTATTTCATCCAGTAGTCAGAAGATGATACACAAGAATCAACCCATCTAATAACAACACCAAACCACAAGCGTAGACGTATTTCACCGCTGACTTCAGGCTCACCAACTTCTCGTCAGCCAGCCTTATAGCCCATACTACATACAGTGGGCGTGCAAAAGTTCCGACACATTCCGGATCCACCCCAACTACCTCGATCTCATACTGCCATTTCGGATTGCAATTGCATGGGCAATAATTCTTCAATTTAGATAATATATATATCAATCTGTAGAGACTTAAAAGGAGATTCCAGAAATATAGTTTAATACTTGGTATAATAGCCATTTGCGTTGTAACAGGCGTTCAACCGGTCGGGCATCGATTTTATCACGTTTTTGACCACTTCATCTTCGACCTCCGACCAAAGCTCCTCTGCAGCTTCAATCAGCCGGGCCAAAGCTGCTGCAGACTTTGGATAAGCAGCAATTTCAGGATATCTATCGCATATCCTCTTCTTCAGGACTTTCCATAGATTTTCAATGGGGTTGAGATCAGGGCTGTATGGCGGCCAGTCAGCAAGAAAGACTCCTGTTCTTCTTGCCCAGGGCAGCAGCCAATTCTGAACTTTCCGGCATTTATATGTACGGGCGTTGTCGTGCTGAAAAGTCTCTCCTTCCTCGACCAGTCCGGGAAGATAAGACTGTAAACAGGATAGAATAATCCTTCCTGTTACGCCTCCCCTCTCAGACTCAGGATCGCCGGCAAGAGGGACGATCCTAGACGGCTTATCATAGTGAATTGCACCAAAGAACATCTGAGAATGTCTGGCAGGCCGTCTACAGGGCTGCACCTTATCTTGATGGAGTCTCTCACCCTGTGGTGTTGTCAAAAGAAGCTTCTGAAATAGAAGGGGCTAGACTTACAGCAGAGTAAAATGACCACTTGGTATAGTCACCGTCTGTACGGTCGATAGAGACCTCATCAGAAAACCACCAGCTATACCAAAAAGACTCATCTTCATGACGATATTTTTCACAGAAAGCTTTTCTCAATTGAGCACTTTCTTCGCTGAGAAACGGGCGTCGAAGTGCAAGCTTGTGTTGTATCTTCTGATTGATAAGCCAGCGACGAATTGTGCTTCTTTTGCAGTTCAAACAGGTGCAATCAATTATTTCTTGGTATGAGATAAAAGCGTTTCTTCCAATGAGTATTTTGATATGATTTTTATCTATATCTGATAGTCGTGATGGCCTTCCAGAGCGAGGTAAATCTTTTGCTGATTGTTGGTGACGGTACCGTCGAATGACTCCATAGATCGCGTGCCGACTTAGCCCCTCACTGTCTGCGATATCCTGCACGCGAACACCTGATTCGTACATCGTCACAAACCTCGTTCTTTTGCAAGGAGAATGATGTGTTTTTTGCCGTATTCGAGGCATCTTTTCCTATAGAAATAACGCGATGAAGTTGTGGTGTTGATGTTGATGTTTAATTGAAAGCGGGGTCCGGACCTCGGATGTGTCGGAACTTTTGCACGGGACTGTATGCACGAACAACCAACACTTTCAACCTAAGGCTACTTAGAGGTTCTAAATCTCGAGTCCAACAAGCGAGGAGCCACAAGTTACTGTCTTAGGAGCACTCCATTGATTTTCACAAGGATCCAGCGATTTGGCGACCTCCACTTCAGCTCAGCCCATGGAAGAACTAGTGATTGTTAGCAAATGTTAGAGCTCCGGCCATGTTTGATTGAGCCTCATCGGGTGTCTCAACAATGGAGGCGGCCGCCTCTTTGCCCCATCGGCGCCATCCCGCCGCTAATAGAAGCCATTGACGGGTATAAGGCTTTAATAAACAGTCAGAAGTGCTGGCATTCGAAGCTCTTGATATTGCCATGCGACTGAGATAGTTGAATGTATCTGGCCCTCTGAAGAAAGAGCACAACGATCCCTCGTCAGATGGAACACGTTACGTCTAACTATGGGTCTGACCTTTGAATCATGTTTCCTTATCGGATCTGGTTCGGGCCCGAACTTGGTCTGACATGTCAGCCCTACAGTTTCCAACGCTCTGGATCTATCATTATGCTAATCCATAAACAATTCTATCGTTCCCTTCATCTCTATCGTGGGACTTGTATTCTCAGCTCTCGGCGAGCCCGTTAGTCCTCGTTGCTTTGCATTTGTCTCACAGCGTCAGGGATCGATGTAGTTTGGGAATGGTCGAATATAAGCGGTATTCTTTACTGAGAAGTTGTTTGTTCATTAAACCTCTTTGTCAGACCATTCAAGTAAGTAAGTCCGCTTACCTATTGAAGCTGCGCATATATATCTAGGACCAGGATGTTAGCACTGCTTGTGACGTCCCTGATGTTAGATTACCAGACCTGGCATTGATAACACTAGTAACCAATGGCTCAAGAACTGCATATAAAAGCGCAAACTATTATTAAAACGGGAGTCTGGCGACCCCGATATGGAGATCGTGTAAGCCAATGGCCACAGTAACATAAAATCACACAAGCATATCGTTATTAGCCAGGCTTATAAGAAATAATTTACGAGGCTTCCTTTTTCCCTTCTTTCACGTTTACAGTGTCTACTGTGCGCCTGGTACAGACCATCAGACGTGCCACTGTCAATCTATCGTCAAAACCTAATGAGTTCTTAGCTACGCAATAATACCCCTATCTTATGAAAGTTTGTGAGAGTCTAAAACTTGAGAAGGACATCCTTTAGAAAGAATGAACTAAAAAGGTTCATTTCATCAACGACACCGTGGGATACTTGAACTGGTATTCTCTATGCATTTCTAGAATTCACCAGTGTCCCCCTAGCCGCGCGTGTATCCTCGATACAACCAACCGTCGACCAACATCATGTATGTGTCATATACCGCATCGGGCACTCGTCTGGCGCGGCCAAGAAATGTTCTTCAGAATCAGGCTGAACAAAAAAGTCGACCATGGGGCTATGTGCCACATTCGAACCACGAATATGGCAGATAGACGAATCATCAACAAGTGTACCGTCGTGTGACCTCCGTAATGTCTGTTCCTCGCCCAAAAAGACCAATAATCTGCGGCTCACGGGCCGTACCGCTCCCTCAAGAAAGATACAAAAAAGTACTTGCTCGAGACTTCCCGTGCGTGATAAACATGCATTGGGAGATGCAGGTTCTCTTTTTCTTGTTATTGGGCGATGAACACGTCGAGCATCGTGAGGGTGCTGGTCGGGTAACAAGAGATGGCAATGACTCCCTTTCTGGCTTCACCGGCTCGAGATTCGCAGATAGCCGGCCGTTCCAAGGGACCATCCTCCCATGAAAGTGAGGCTGAGTTCATTGAGATACAAAACAGATTGGTATTGATATTCACCGCTCATTGTCCTGTTGAAGGCTTCTCGTGTCTAGAGGCTGATTATTTGCTGATTTTGATGATGGAAAAAGGCGTCCACAGGATGGCCTCAGCGGGGCTGTATTCATGATGGATGGATGGGTGGGTAGACAGCATAGCTGGCAATTCATCTTTCCAATCTCAACTGTCGTGTCAAAACTCTCTGCTCACCGTAAGATTCATAATGCTGCCCGAAACTCAAGAGAGGAGGGCGATTCACGGCTACCTGTCTGATGAAACGAAAACCCAACATGTTTTCTCAAAACCCTCGCCGTTTGCCTTCTGGACACGAAAGCTGTTGGGGGTCAAGTTCGGAGGTTCAGGTGTTTCGCGAACTTCTGGAGCAACGGAAATAAGGACGTCGACAGGATTGCCTTGGTCTTGTCAAATTCGCTAGTAGTCCTTGCTAGGGGTCCCTTCCATAGTCAAGTTCAATGGCTAACGATGCCATTGTTGGAAAGGAGGAGATCCTTTGCTAGCGAGTCCCCTGTTTTCACAGGTGCGGGCATTATCTCGACGTGGTCTTGCCTGAAACTTTGACTTTGTGATGGGTCACCTTGAAGTCAAAGTGTGAATTGTTTTTGGGTCTCTTCAAAGAACCATTCTCTGTAACCTACTGGTCAGGAGATAATGCCTAGTACCTACCTACCTAAGGAGAGCCCCAGGCATAATGGCTCTTCGGGTGTAGCCAAATTATGGATACCTTCCAGAATGAGCATCCACTTTCAGTGCATCAGCATTACTGTAGAGCACATTTTCGATACCTTCAGATAGACTCGTAGGAGGAAGCTCGTCCAGACTCTGGCTGTAGCATGTAGCTTATCTTCCTTTCAATAGAAATGGGCAATAGGACGTCCAGGTCACAACACTGCGCATCCAATGCTCATCCAGCCTATTCTTCTTCAACTTTGAAAGCCATTTTTGATCATAAGAGTTGTCAGCATGGCTTGAGCAAGCATGCTCGTAGGCTGAATACTGCTGCGCTTCAGACACGGGAAATGGTGGAGATTGGGTGGAATTCCTGCGATTCCATCATTGGTGGTTCCAAGTTACTCCAAATTCCCACTGGGGCAGCGTGGAGGTTCTGAGCGCTGCGGCTGCACTATTCAGATTGTCCGAGCCATAGATGCCGTAAATAAGACCCGACCGTCAACCCCTGGCCCGAAGTTATAGGCAGTCCCTTGACGACAGTTCCGCGTATAAGGAGACCAACAAACTTCTCCTGCCGGGCCTGAACAAAGCATTCATTCTTGCACTTGCTGTGTTCATCTTTGTTGCGATACAGACCAGCTCGTCCTTTTGACACTGCCAAATGGGATGAGCGTGTCCCCATCAAAACGCACTCTGGTGCGGTGTCTCCTTCAACACCTTTGATGCCCAACAAGCAATCGGTTTGGAGAACCCCCTCGTCTTCTGCTGTCCATGCAGCACCATAAACCTTTCGAAATGTCTGCAGGCAACGAAAAAAAATGTTCATTTGGATTTACCGCAAGTGCGGGAATCTGAAGTCAAGCCAAGCAGCAACCAGAGCATAATGGCGACTGAATGATCCGGGTTACAGGCTCGTTCGTCAGTTATCTGCGAGTCGCATTGTTGCAAAAGGACATGGGTCTGTTGTCTGAGCATATCCGACAACATCGAATGATAAATGGGAAGCAACCAAATTTTAGATGAACTTCCGATTAATGTTGTCTTTGTTAATCGTCGTTTTGAGGATATACACATGGTTAATGTCCAGATCAGCGTCAGCGTGAATGGCAGTGACCTCGAACTGCCTAAGAAAGGCGGTCTAGGATTACGCAGGACTGTCAGGGCGCTTTACCGAATCGAATCGAAAGGAACCGCCTGCAAGGCTGGGAACTTCAACTAATGGATAGCTGTTTCGCCAGAGTGTATTGGGTTCCGGAAGCGTTGTTGTATGATCTGTTGGCTCTGACGCGGTTGCACAGTTCTATCAACTATCGCCAAGGATACTGGCAGGCTCTTTTAACTTTGGTGTCGCCAACGAGACACTAGTTAGGACAACTGCGAATTGCCAATGAACGACAATGGGGGAAAGTCTTGTTTGATGAATACTCGAGTTTCTGCCAGCCATTGTTATTGGTGTCTTGGGCCGGGGCCCTCAGGCAACCAGCCACCCGTTGCCGTTTTCATGAAAAGCAGAAATGGGTTGCAGTATCCATGCTCATTGTCGGAAATACCTTCAACTCCGAAACAGGTCAATGCATGCGGGCGTTCATCAGGTATCTAATCTACCTGCCTATCAATGCCATTCAACTCAACTATCATGGTTTGACTCGGTTCTGCGCTATTGATCTACACAGACTGAGTAAAGGGCCACGCTACTCCACAGCCAGACCCCAGGATTATCGGGTACAACCACATTGACATCAAGATGTTTTCAGATATGGGGTTTCTGTGGCGACGAGACCGTGCTTACACTCGCAGAGTACCAAGATCGCCCCAAGGCACTTGACCCCGTCCGTTGCACTAAGACCGGTTGAACATGCAGTGGCTCTTCAAAGATGACCTCGTCCAAGTTCTCGACGTCGGCGGCTCTATTGCGTCTTGGTACCAAGGCAGCGGCCAAAGACTGCACTTCACCGCCTTGTCTCGCCCCGTTCCCAGCAGAACCATGTCAGTTGTCGTTCAGGTACTCTTTAATTTCGAACTGAGTACAAACAACCTCAAGCGCGTTCGTGTTTCGCGCGACAGAGGGAAGTTCTGAGGAAGCCATGGATTGGCTGTGTCTTGATTTATGGTAGTAGGATGCTTTGGTAACGAATGAACTCCTCGACACAATGTTAAACTAGGTCGATCATGGTTTCGCATTCTACTAACCTAAGGTCTGTTTTCCGGGATCCATAGGTAGTCCTAGGTCGTAGATTCTGCCAGGAGGTAATAAAAGAAGGCGCCTTGTTGTTTCTAAAAGGTACCTTCAACTTCCATGTTCCCCTTGTACCTATTCCAGAGCCGCATCGGAAGGATAGTTTGCCGTGCCCACCTGGTGTTGCCTCCTTTTCCTCTCCAAGCATTCACACCTTACAGCCCTATTTCAAACAAAGTCATGTGTTTATCTCTCATGCTACGCGACGAGTCTCGCTTCTGTTTCTATCTATCATTGTTGTTTTTTCTTATTCGTCCTTTAGAAGGCCAGTTCGCTGTCTTACTGTAACCTCCCTACACGAACTGGCAGCCATGGTTCTCGCACATCTACCTCATCGACATCGGTGCTAACAGAGGAAATTCTCGGAGAATGCGATTCTACAAACGATTGTCCAATAAATATTCACGGCCTTGCACACGACACATCAGGTCGTTGTGATACAGTGCAGTCTCAACTTCTGCTCGCCTTCCAATGTCCCCCAGTCTCCGGTCCATCCGTCCCCTTCACGATATCAACCACCTCGAAGAAGGGTGGCCATCAATCCGGCATAGGCGAGACAGGTGAGCAAAACTTTCTCAAATCCCAAAATCAGTCCCTGGCTCAGCCAGCCAAACGCGATCACAAACACGAGATACACAACTACTTCACCCACTGTTGATCGGACATTCAGGGACTGAATCGCGGCTGGGGCGCAAGCAAACACAGCAATAATGGAGCTGAAAAGGGTGGTGGTTATAAATCGTATGACCCCTTCGTTATAGTGAATCTGAAGATTATCACCAACCTCTTCTTCGGCTGAGACGAACGGTGTCTAGGGCCTGTCAGTACATACCACTTTTCGGATGGCACAGGGGAGTGGTACTTACCAGGAGTGCTCTGCCGACCTTTGTGAAGGCGGCAAGACAGATGAGCTGATCCATTCTGTCTGGTTGAGCGAGCGTTACCCAGTCGTTCATCGGCGCGTCAAGGTAGTTACCGCCCCCGCCCTTTAACATATCTCTGAAGCAAGGCAAAAGGTGTCTCAAGAAATAGTTGCCTGGCTTGTCAAGTGCGAGTACCTGGCTTGTTTGAAGTAGCAGCTGTACTGAGAGTGAGTGTGTCAGCTTGCAGTCGAGCAAGTGGATAGTAATTGTCTTTTGTCTTACAATATTTTAGGCATTCTTCCACGAGCTTTTCGTTCAAGTTCGCAGCTTCTTCACCCAATTCGGATGCTTTTTCAGCCTCGGCATTGAGAGCTACCATGCGTTCCGCTTGAAGCATAATACAGCGCGAGGTTATGTTTGTCAATCGGGGCGCTACCATGTGCCTTTTGTCTTGTTGTATCTGTTGACACATGCGGACCCAACCCCTTTGCCAACCTGAGCATCACCTCTCAGCGCATACTAACAATCACAGGATATATATGCAACATACCCCAGCTTCCTGCTTGGCGTTCGAGATCTGGGCCAAAGGTCAGATGGCTGCCGTACTTCAGCGATCTTATTCAAGGTCTCATACCTATTCCAGGTCTTATGCTTGGTGCATTGGCTTCATCGCTCCGTGGTGGCTCACTGGGTGGCTCTTGTGTGAAGTTGCCACCAGTTACGTTTATCTGGCGAGGTGGAGACATTTTGGCGGTGCGATCGAACAATTCACTTGGTTTCAACTTGCGCAATGGCTCTCCTGTCAAGCTTGGTGAGATCAATCGACGAGGAATACCAGAACCTTTTATCTTCGATGGGTTCACACATCATTGCACGCTGACGACAGGACACACAACCTTGTGGTGCTTTTGGGCATACAATGAGGCTCGTTTCTACCACTACCAGTTCCGCCTCGACCTCCATTATACAACAACATAACACACCGCAACTGCAGCTGCCTTCTTTTCTATGCGAAGTTGTTGGTCGAGTCAGGCGCAAGATTGTCGCTGCAGGTCGATGGGCTGTGCTAAGCAAAAGCAAATCACAGCACGTACATAATCGGCGCTGTCAGCCAGGATCTGTCGGATCGAGCCCAATCATAACGGCCCACCAACACCCACCCGTTCTCTGAATGTATCAGGTTAGTTACTGGCCCCTGGCCTAAGTGACAACAAACCAAACCCCGTTTCGTATAGATGATCCACGTCATTGTGCAACAATCGCGCTTATTTAAGCGCGTTGAATTACCTATATCGAAACAATGGGCTTCAGGCTTTATCACCAGCAAGACAATGTGTTGGTAATTTGATCCTCCAGAATGTTCAATGTTTCGGTGTTCCAATAAGTGTTTATTGTCCTAATCTAAATAATGTAAATTTACCAAATGAATCGAAAGTGTATCCCAAAATTAAAGTGCCGGTGCTATGTGAATAACCACAACTTTTGAATTTGTTCTCACAGCCACAAAGTCCTTTGCTGCAATCTTTGACAAACATGAAGCTTCGAACTGGGAGATTACAGTCAGACTGGTTTCAGAATGCGGCCTTGGGAAATCTGTGCGCACCTTTACAGTTCACGGCCTTTCATTTTGCCTTGAATAATGTATGGGGTTCTTCGCGATCATCCGTACCTCAATACCCAAGGGGAGGTTTTGTGTGCTGATTTGGTGGATTTGGTTGCAAAATCAGGCCTTGGACTTGGCTTCGTCGGATGCCGCGGCTTTCTCGTTCTTGGACTGACTTTTTGGTATAATAGCAGTCTCCTTGGGGCCCTTGGGCTCGAGTTCTTTAGGGATGTTGACAGTCAAGGCGTCCACAGGACCAGGACTCTTTGATGGGGCCATTTGTGGATATGGAGCTGGGTTATGGAGAGAGAGCGAAGTGTGTTAATCCGATGGGTACTGACTTTGATAAACAATAACTTGGCTTGCTACTCTATGCCCTTATTATACTTGTCATGCTAAAGCTTCTAAGAGCAGGACGCCTCCTGATATCTCGCTAAGTTATCTTTCTAGCCCCGTCGTGTAAGAAAAAGCAAGTCTTGGAAATGATAGAGGGCATGGTCAGGACAAGGTTGGAAAACTAGTGCTCGATGGCCATCAGCAAGACTCGAATCCATGTAGTATGCGCTTTGACCTGAACCATGTCGAGATTATCAACGACGGCTGCCGAACGTTCAACCTGCCGCCAATTCGTCAGATAATACCACTTGACAGGCTCTTGTCTTACTCTGAGTACATGAGTTTGGCGATCATGCGTTTCAAGTCTAATAAGAGGACAGATCAGCACCAGGAAAGCTCAGCACTATTTTTAGCGGCTCGCTTCTATCTTGGATCATCTGTAACGGAAATTCACAGCCAGTAGAGATGTCTGTTCTTCAATGGCTCGACAGTTGCTAGGTATGCATCTCTTTCTCACTTGTCAGCAGTCGAAACGACTATGAAAGAGGCAGCTTTGGGCATATGGCAAATGATCCCCCCCGTAACTGGTTCTTGTCTGCCTAGAAGCCGCACGGAAGAAGGCCAAACTTGCTCGTCGTCATATTGAGTGTAAGGAGGAACCTTAGACATCCGGGATGAAGTACCCAGTCTCCGCCGCTAAGTACGCCACACTGGACACTGCTGCCAGGGCCAATACTCCTCTTCAGCCTTGGCTTATTAGTATGAACGACAACTTGAAGAGTTTGTGCTGGACATATGATGGAGGCAGTAGTCTAGGGCTGCTGGGCTGTTATTGTTCAACAGCCATTGGGTGACTATGCCCGAACCCTTGTCGGCGCCCCTCATCGCTGAACTAGACCAGAAGATCACGCCCTTGTCGTTGACCGTAAGCGATCTGGAAGCATAGATGCCGGGCTAGGGTTTCCAGGTTTCATCCACCGGTCTCTATGCATTGTGGGACTCGGTGCAGGGATTTTGTGACTGGAAATCATCATATACTACTAGTTTTGTGGCAGAGGAACTCATCCGAAAGCCCTGCATCCTACTATGTAGATACATGAGGAAAGAGGTGGAACCTGTCTCTTGGTAAGGTCACCTCGCTAGCACGAACGGGCTAACAGCAACTTTCATCCCTGCGCCAGCAGACACGAATACGGAGTCCAAGAACTTGACTGATCGTGTAGAAGAGCAAAAGTGAGGCTATACATATCGACACCAAGTCATAAGTAGCCACCATTTTGCGGGTTCCACGTACTTCTGAGTCATAAGACATTGTCTAATTTAAATCTGCATGTAGAGTCTTGATGCTGTTGCATCGGTTCATGTAGCCGGCTGCTTGAGTAGCTGTGGCGTTACCAGGGTCCGGGTAAGATATCAGTAACGAGAAGTTTGACACACATATCTCGCTTTGCCTTTATGCAAGTTTCATGTTCCAGCATAAAGTGCGTTACAATTTTGTGTAACTATCATGTCTTATGCCTCCCATCTGAGACTCGGTGTTTGGACTATCTTATCGATAACGTCTTATCTGTCTCCAGCCAAAATTTTAGAAAAGTCAAGGAACGGCCCCACCAAAAAGTTTCTATCTACCTGCGCAGATCGACATTCTTCAGATCAAGTCAATCAAAATGCCCAAGCCCAGAACGAGACGTGGCGCTGGCCGCGAGGAGAAGAAGCGAAAGAGAATCGAAGAAGCTGAACAGCAACACGAAACGTACGAGAACGACAACAAGCGGCAGCGCACTTATGAAGACAACGACAACAACGATGGGTTCGACTACCAAGATGGCCAGGATCCTCAGCAGAATGGCCTTGGCGAGAAGGAGTTCTTTGGAATGCTCGCGGAGGAAGAGCAGGAATACTTCCGTCGCGCGGACGAACTATTAGAGCTCAACCAGTTTCCATCAACCGAGGATCGCGACATCTTCCTCGAAAACGTCTGGAAGGAGGCCGAGGGCAAGGAACTCAAACTAGCCAGTAGTCAGTCCTGTTCGCGATTGATGGAGCGTCTCATACAACTATCGAACACAGCGCAGAAGAAGCGTTTGTTCGAAGCTTTCGGTGGGCACATCCTCTCGTTGGTACAGCACCGATTCGCGAGCCATTGTTGTGAGGCGCTCTTCCTGCGATCTGCAGGTGTGGTATCACAAGAGCTTTCTGGATATGTGCTTGATACCAAGGGTACAGATGTTGACATGCAAAAGCCTGAGACGTCCATGGAGAATCTTTTTCTGGCTACGCTCGACGAGCTCGAAGGTGCTTTATCATACCTCATCACCGATCGATTCGCATCACACACTCTGCGCGTGCTCTTATTGGTCTTGGCTGGCCGACCCTTAGAGGATGCATCGGTGCGAAGTCTCATCAAGAGCAAGAAGAAGGAGAAAATTTCAGTCGCGGGAGGTTCAGCAACAGATGAGGCGAACCAAGGGTTGAGGGCAGTACCCGAATCGTTTTCAATGGCAGCCAAAAAGATTATCCAAGACTCAACGGCAGGGATGGATGCTACCGCCTTGCGAGTGCTTGCCAGACATCCTATTGGAAACCCCACACTTCAGCTTCTCCTTGAGCTCGACCTGACACTCAACAAGACCGAGCAGAAGGCTGAGTCTGAACAGCCGACTCTACTATTCCAGCTGTTACCCGGCGCTCCAAGGTCACTTAGCGACGGCTCATCAGAAGCATCCGAATTCATTAACGGCATGATCTATGACCAGATCGGTTCACGACTTATCGAGACACTCATCACACACTGCCCTGGCAAAGTCTTCAAAGCTCTCAACCAGAACATCTTTCTTCCCAGAATAGAGGGTTACGTCCGAAATGACGTTTCTTGTTACGCTGCTATTCGAGTCCTGAATCGGCTGAGCAAAGATGACCTGGTGCATGCCGTTGAGAAGATTACACCAACCGTGCCTCAACTAGTCGCAAAGTCCAGGCTCAACGTTCTCAAGACACTATTTGAGAGGTGCAATGCCCGCGGCGCCAACGACGAGATCAAGAAGCTCAACAAGGGGCTCAAGGAGGGATGTGGGAAGACACCGGCCGACCTGGTCATTTTCCTATGCGGTTTGAAAGACGAAGAGAAGAAGAAGAAAGATGTTCAGCAACTTTCTAAAAACGAGTACGCGATTCAGTCCCACGGAGCTCAACTTCTGACTACTCTCCTGTCCATTCCGGGACCGACAAAGGGTGTGCAAGAGTCTCTTCTTGCCCTCGAGCCACACGCCCTGGTCCGCCTCGCCACTACGTCCATGCCTACCGTTACTGTCCTTACCACCGCCCTTGCTACACCTTCTTCAAATCCTGCCTTCCACAAGTCTATCGCCAGTGCCATACTGCCCCATACTCACGAACTCGCCATATCGCAGTTTGGTCATAACCTCATTAATGCTATCGTTGAGGTTCCCAGCAAAGGCAAGGAGCGAAATATTCCCTTCCATATGAAGGAAGCTTTTATGGCACGCTTGGGTGATCATGAGGCGGAGTTGCGTGACAGTTGGATGGGTAGAAGTGTCTGGCGCACCTGGAAAGGTGATATGTGGAAGACCCGTCGTGGAGATTGGAAGTTGTGGATGAGAGAGGTGGACGCCAACATTCCGTCAAGTCTGCCACAGCGTGGACCAAAGGTTGCAGAAAGGGAGAGGCAATCTGCTAAGCCGATTCCAGAAATTGTAGAAGAGAACCCTGACCAAGAGCCTGCGGCTGAGGAGCATATTACTGAGGACAACATTAAGATGGATGTAGATGACGTTGTAGAGCCAGCACTTGATGGTGAGGAGAAGAGCAAGAAGGACAAGAAGGACAAGACAAAGAAGAGCAAGAAGGATAAGAAAGAAAAGTCAAAGAAAGACAAGAAGGAAGAGAAAGATAAGAAGAAGAAGAAGGACAAATCCGTTGATGTCAACGCAGATGAGGAGACAGAGGAGTAAAATAATCGTTACTAGGATAGATAGTGGCCACGGATACCCAGACTTGAGCCAACATAATTACATTGCGACTATTCAGCCTGCCCCTCTCTACGAGTTTTGCATAATGCTTTGTTGGTTTTTTGTTCACATGCTTGTCCTTATCCCGTAAGCTTTTACCTTGCAAAGGAGCCTGCTTGGATGGCCTTTATATCTCTTTCCACCCATGCCAGCGAGATCTTTATTCTCCTTCACTTAGACCATCGGTAAGTATATCTTTATTCTCCCCCTTTGCTTGTGATTGCAATTCTTTCGAACAAAATCATGGCACTTGCTACTTTTCAAGACTGTCTTCATGCAGAGGAGACTTACCTTGTATCCCTCAAGACCTTTCACGTTCAACATACTCGTGTGATCGCATTAACTTTCTCCCTCACTAGCCCCCAATATTATTTCTTAACTGTCACGAAGCGGATAGAATCGCCGGCGACTGATGGATCTGCCAATTCCCCTTATTCTAGAGATCACCCAGAAGATGAGTATAGAAGGATGGATTAGCCAAACATATTGAAAGTTCTCTGTACTCAACGAGACTCTAACAGCATCATATGAGACAAGCGAGGGATGGGTCCGCATGTCGATACTGTATTTTATAGCTTTAACCTAGTAACAGCCATTAAATGGGATCCAGGTATTCCAATAACAGCCACAAAAGTGTCGACAATATAGTCTCTGGGCAGACTGAAGTCTCAGTAAACTTAATCAATAAGGTTACTTCCAGCTGCAGCATCTCAGGCAACTCTAACCAATATCAATACTGTGTCTTGGGATTGAACCGAAGATGCCTCAACTTCTTCAAGGTCTTTTGCCAGGAGAATTGAAAAGACAGTTTGCATTTGACGAAGTTTGTCGCTACTCTGGCCCCTGATATTTCGGCTACGAGTATCCCTCGGTGGATTATCAGAAGCACTTGGGTCACAACCGATGTCTCAAAAGCTTTATTCATTCATCTTTGTTGTTATCGTTCATAATTCTTCCCCATGTCCCTGTTCATGTATCCCTACGAGGCAGGGATACTCTCTGTTGAAAATGACATTTTGCGAGACTGTTTTCAAAGAGCACCCATGCTAT